TTTTTTTTTTTTTTTTTTTTGCACTTCCAGCAGGTGGGATTCATGTTCGGATACATTTTGGCCAATCTCATTGGTGGTAAATGCGAAAGATATATAACATTTTGTACGAACTATTTTCCAAAGCACCAAAAGGCAAGACAAGAAACAATGGATGGAAACTAACCAAGGAGAAAGTGGTGGGATTCGCACCTATTCGGGAGAACCGGTTCTTAACTTTCTAAGAGGTTTACAGAACCGGTTGTTGGAAGAAATCTTCTTTTGGTTTTTTTCCGCTTTACAGGGCTAATCCTATAAGGAAGGCAGGAAGGAAACATTCTGTTGTTGTTTCTAGCTTAATCTTTATTGCCCTGCTTACAGAAACTGCCTCTCCACTTAACCCTTATTACATTGTAACAGCTAAGGCGAAGCGCCCATTGACCTGAGTAATGTTGAGTTGGCCACGCCCACATGGTCACATGACCACTAAGCCCCGCCTACCTACCTGGTCATTAGGACAGACAACCGGTTGGTAAATTATTTGAATCCCACCATCATTGCTCCGTCATTGGAGGCTTTCAACAGGATATTGGACAATCCTTTATCTGAAATGATATAGGGTCTCCTGCTTGAGCAGGGGATTGGATTAGAAGGCCTCCAAAGTCCCTTCCAACTCTATTATTCTGTGTTATTCTATGTTAACTGAGACTTCTTCCAAGAGTTGGTTTCTTCTTTCACCAATGTGGCAATCTCATGCAACCTCTGTCTTTCTCCCCTCGGTTGCATTTCGGAGGCTGGGGAATACCAGAAAAATCTGTTTCTCTCCTCTGAAATAAAATTCATGAAACAGTTGATTGTTTGTGGTAAATACAATGCAGTATTGCAGACTGACTCTGCCCACTGCCAGGAGTTCAATCCTGACTGGATCGAGGTTGACTTATCCTTCCATCCTTCCGAGGTGGGTAAAGTGAGGACCCAAATTGTTGGAGGCAAGAGGCTGACTCTGTAAACCACTCAGAGAGAGCTGAAAAGCACTGTGTATACGTCTAAGCGCTGTTATGCCTTATACATATTATATTATGCCTTGACATATGACCACAATTGGGTCCAGAATGTCTGTTCTTAAGCAAGGCAGTTGTTAAGTGAGTCGCACCCAATTTTATTACCTTTTGGGCCATTGTGACTTTGAATCAATGGTCAAGGACTACCTGCAGAATTTTCCTGAGTACTTTTCCTCCCTGCTTTTCTGGAATGGATGCTTCTCTGTTTTTGTAGCATTAAGTGCAAAGTCCTACATCTTAGGGTAGATCTCTCAGGTCCTAAATCTTTTTTCTGTTCTTTTTTTGGGGTGTGGTCCAGGTGTGCATGGGATGGGCAGCCACAAAGAGGACTTCCGCTTCTGTGCTGAGCGAAGACAAACGGTTGGAGGCCACATTCGTTATGACACTCAGCAGGATGCTATCACTATCTCCAATGGTGCCGACGGACTTAATATCAGTGCCCCGTTCCCACCGGGACCTCAGCAATCCTGGGCCTTGCCTTCACATTTGGGGACTTACCGCTTCTGCGTTTATTGGTTTCAGGATGACCATCTGTTCAATCTTACCTATGGCATCACTCATTCCTATCAGCTGAGTAACCAAGCCAATTATTCATTCTCCTCTCTAAATTTCAACTACGAAGGGAGCAAAGATGGGCCTGATTTACTCAACAATATCTCCTACGCCTTCAACGATGGCTTTGACAATCGCTCCCTTCCGAGCATGACAAGATACAAGTTCTTCTTAGGTAGGTTGCATCCTGGGGTGGGTTTCAAAACTTTTTACTACTTATTTTGTGGGCATAGCCTATTTTTGTGGGTGTGGCATATGTGGGTGTGGCCTGGCGGTCATGTGACTGGGTGGGCATAGCCAACTTGATGTTACTCACTAGGAGATATCATGAATTGGGTAAAATGTGGTGAAGCTCACTTAACAGCACCAGGCCACCATTACTACCGGTCCTATCCGGTACACCAGATTTTCACTACCTCTTCTGGCATACTGTACCATACCGTACCGTACCGTGAGGAACCCACCTCTGGTTGCATCAGAACGGGATGAACCTTGGAAAAGGGCAGGCAAAATAACATTTGCATTCACTGTTGAACATTACAGGTAGTCCTCGAGTTACGACAGTTCGCTTAGTGAGCGTTGGAAGCTACAATGGCACTGAAAAACGCACTTATGACCATTGCAGCATCCTCATGTCCTGTGATCAGACACTTGGGAACTGACCCATATTTATGACGGTTCATGTATCCTGAGGTCACGTGATCCCATTTTGCAACCTTCCAACAAGCAAAGTCAATGGCGAAGCCCGATTCACTTAACCACTGTGTTATGAACTTAACAACTGCAGTGATCCACTTAACAAATTGTCAAGAGAGGTCGTAAAATGGGGCAAAAGACACTTTCTGTCTCACCTGGAAATTTAGGGCTCAGTTATGGTCATAAGTTGAGGACTATCTATACCTGGTGGTAGAAAACGTGTTGTCATGGTTCCAAATAGCATCCAAAAGTAGATCAGAGTCCAAGGCAAAAAGTTGCTCAAAGTTCCAATTTATGAAGAGAGCCATGTTGACACATCTGGGAAAACCCGAAGCTGAAAGCTTCCCGGTTTTCCCCACCCAGTTGAAAGTTCAAGATCTTAACCCCATACCCACAAGTCCATCCCATGGTCCAATCTTCCACTGCTATGCTGGCAGTTCCACCCATCCGGTTCCGGTCAAGTGCAGAGATGCAAAGACAAAGGATGACCTTGGCTTTCTAGAAAGAATTATTTTATGGTTACATAGCATCCAACTCCGTACAATCCCCCCTCCCATTTTCCCACTATAGAAAATGCATAGGGTTATGCTAACCCTAACCCTAACCCGGAAATTGCTTGCTTGTTCGTTGGATTTTTATGGGTTCCCACCTCACAGTAGCCACTCTGGGGGGGGGGGGGACGACACACAATATTAAAAAGAATAATAAATTGCTTAACCTCTCATATCTACCGTGTATATCCAGAGAAGCAGATTGGAACAAATGACCAAAACGGTACAAAATCTCAAACATTTGCACAGTTTATTCTGCCCTAGTTATAGTTGGGCTTAAATATTTTTATCAGACACTGCAGAGTGCAACCCTGGGAATTAAAACTGTTATTAAAAAAACAACAATAACCAACGGCTACAATCGTCAAGATGTTGATTACTATTTTTTCCCCGCCAATACCATTTCCTACCATTTCAGGAAATGAACCAGAGGTGGCATTCAGCCAGTTCTGGCAGGTTCTGGAGAACCAGTAGTGGAAATGTTGAGAGTGAGGAGGAAATGGGGATTTTGCACTATCCTTCCCCTGCCACACCCACAAAGCCACGCCCACAGAACCAGGAATAAAAAATTTGAATCCCACCCCTGAAATGAACATGGCATCAGAAAGCTTGAATTCTGGCCTGTGCAGAAGCAGATGTCAACTCTCCATGGTGACATTCCATGCATACCGTTGGCAGAGCCAGATCTCAGATTACAGTAGCTGGTTTGAGATGGGTGCATCTATTGGGTAACGTGATTTATGACACAGACTGAGGGGAGGAAAGGAACAGGGACAAAGTTCAGAAGCAGATAAACCGAGCAAAGGAATGGCTGCGAATAAATCTTGCCTAATGAATAATGCCTAATCAAGCTGTTAATAAATCACAGGTTTTTGTATTAAAACATTGGCTCGATTATTATGAATCAATTATGGCATCTTTAGGAAACTTTACAGCAGATAGGCTCACCTAGAATTAAAAAATAAAGGGGAATCGGAATATTATGAAGTTTGGAATAGATTTTATGATTGGTATAAGACAAGGTGACAAGACTGGAACAAATTGTAAATAATGTGATTGGCTAAAAGGATAGATAATGTATTAAGTAGGCTAATAGTTATTGGTTGAGATTATTTGTATATAATGTGATTGTATAGTCATTACGACTCCACTGTTCTGAACTATTTTAAACATAAAAACAATATATGTATATTGGAATTCAAGATTTATTCAAGTCCCAGGAACAGCCAAACCATGAGGCCCTTTTATTTTACTTTGCTGGTTTGCTTTGCTCTGTAGATTTTCGGAAGATAGATCAGAAGGAAGCGTTGGTTCAAAACAGCAACGTGGAAGAAGAAATGAGACGAACAGAGTTAAAACTGAAGAACTTGGAAACACGTCCTAGCAGTGATCAGGATGGGCCTCCGGAAGATCCGTTTTTGTGAATATTTGGCAGCCAATCTGCATTCTTATTCATTTGTATTTAAAAAAAGTAGGCACTGTGTATTGCAGAAGTCCTCAAACTTGGCAACTTTAAGACTTGTGGACTTCAACTCCCAGAATTCTCCAGCTGGCTGGAGAATTCTGCGAGCTGAATTCTACAAGTCTTAAAGTTGCCAAGTTTGAAGGCCTCTGATGTATTTTGACTGCAAAAAGGAGTGAGATGGAGCAGGGTGGCTGGAGGTATGCTTTGCACAAGTCTTGCACACAAGTCCGATTGTTGCAAGTGGTGGGAGATGCGCTTTACCTGCATATTACAAAGTCAAAAGAGATATTTTATCTTATCTCATATCAAAACAGGTTTGAAATAGGAGCTAGCATGGTTTTCAGAGTATAAGACGTTCCAAAGTATAAGACACACCTAGATTTGGAGGAGGAAAACAAGGGGAAAATATCTGCCTCTGCCTCTCAGCAATTTGCCTCCTTGCAACAAANCAGCTGGCTTTCATGCCTAAGGCGGGACTAGAACTCACAATCTCTTGGTGATTGGCCCACAATCATCCATATGGCTTTCATGCCTAAATCAGGACTAGAATTCACAGTCCCCTGGTCTCTAGCCTTATGCCTTGACTACTACAGTATCTCCGCACAGCAAATAAAATTATGGATCAGGATGAACCCACCATTTATCCCACCAAGACATTGGAACAAAATGGAGTGAAACCCCTCATTTCAGGAGTTGGAAAATCCTTTTCTTTTTTTTTCCCCATCCAAAATAAATGAAACAATTTGCCTTTGGCTTCTGTCTGGCATGCTGTCTTTGTCCTGGTTCATTTCAGATTTTAATTGTCTCCAAACTGGGCTGCTGTGGAAGGCGTTGGTTGCACTTAGTGGAAACCTTCCGTGCCTAGCTGTGAAAGGAGAGAAAGATGAATAACAATGACTGGAAGCGACTCCTTCGTCTGTTTCTGCTTAAACTACGCAACTTCATCTGGAGCCGGGTGGTCACTCTGTGCACGGCTGACTCAGGCCCCAAGTGGGGAAACCATTTGAGTTCTTAAAAAGAAAAGTGTGGTTTGCATTTACCGTTTGTCACACATCGGACGCCGGCTACTGAACATTTCATACCGCTTGCTTCCTTGCCTTAATAATAAAATACATGGGGTTTCCGGCTCATTTTGATGCAAGAATTCTGGTGCAGATTTGATGCAGGTTTATGTGCAGAGAGACCCCCTGACTTTGCAGGGAGAACTGACCATCAATGCTCACCCTTTTTCAATGGTGATGCTGTTGAAAGAAGGAGAAACACTGCTGGGCTGGGCTGGGCTGCTGGCTACAATTTAGTCTGTGCTGCGGCTAACAAGCAGCTAAAAGGCCTTATTTGGAAGTGGTCTGGAATATATTAATTTGTTTTGAAATGAACTTCAAATTTTAATCCAGAAAAAGAGAGAGAGAGAAAGAGAGAGAGAGAGAGAGAGAGGGAGGGAGGGAGGGAGGGAGGGAGAGAGAATGTCAGGTGCGAAAGCCAGGTCCACCCCTGAAGGTTGAATTATTAGACTGATTTATTGCTAAAGCCTGTGCAACAGGAATCTTCTCAACGAATCTTCTCCCCATGGTGGACACTTGGTTAGATAAGGACCAATGGGACGCAAGGGGTGCTGGACATAGTTTGCTTATGGCTGCGGAATGATACTAGGCTGATTCCCCCTTTTCATTCCACCCCAAGGTTGTCCAGCATTCCCCTATAGAAAAAAAGAGTTATGAATTAAAGTTTGTAAAATGTGGTATTTAGCCGGATCGGACCAGTTCGCCTGAACCGGTAGTGGAAATCATGGGTGGGCTTGCCCACCCAATTCGGCTCTATGCTGTCCTATTTAGGTACGTTTTTGAGACCGGGCACATGCATGGAAAGCACATGAATGAGCAAAGCGCATGCGTGGAAGGCAAGGCGCATGCGCAGAAGGCGCCCGGTTGCCCATTTCATACGCGGGGGTGCGTGAAGCAGGTGGGCAGGTGCACGGTGAACCAGTGGTAACGAAATGTACAACCCACCACTGACCCTTACCTACTCAAGTTTTATAATAATAAATAAATACAATTTATATAATAAATAAATATACTGTAAAGGTGGTCCTTGACTCACAACAGGCCTCTTAGCAATGGTTTAAAATTAGGAATGACCCGTAAAAGAAACTTTGGATTGGAAGTTCCGATGGTTTCCCCCATATGATCATATGACCACCTTGTGGGCACTTGGCAATATGGGTCATTTTATGACCATTTGTAGCATCCCATGGGTGACCCAATTAAACACCAGGAAAATAATTGACAAGATCTCCCATTTTCAACAATTCCTTTGCAGAAACACCATGATGGGATTTTAATTCCAGATGCTCCCAGAAGACCCATGTTTTCGAGAAGAGTGTTTTGCAGAAGATCACAGTTGCCACGTTAAGCCTTTGCTAGATGCCTCAGCGCCAGACCAGATCTCCCAGGATGCTCTTCTACCTTCTTTCTGCCTTTTTCCAGCTCCAAGGTAACATCGAGACTCTTAACTTTATTTTCTCCATTCGTGGAGAATTGGAATCTTTTAACTCATCTCTTCTATGCTGAATTTACATGATATGCATCCTTCTTGCCAAACCTGGTAACTCCCAGTTTATTTGGACTACAAGTCCCATCACATATGGTTAATTCCTTTGCTGGTGGTGGGTGAAGGAATAGAGTTAATAGTGGGAAAATATCTGCATGAGATGACCAGGCTAGACTAGAATAGAATATATCTTTATTATGGTCAGAGACCAGCAAGAGACATCACTTTTTACAATATATTTAAAAAAAATAGTACTGACATTAATAGTGGATAATAACATCACTGTTAAGAAAATACATATTCTCAAACTGTTAGGGTCACTCCCTTGTTTACATGGGTGAAAAGCTGATAAGTATGTGAGTAAATATAATGTTCTAAAAATTGTTGGAGAACTCTCCCAAAACTTGGTACAAGTTGACGAATTCTGTAACCAATTTTTTTTCTTGTGGGCATTGCAGCAACGCAGAATTTTGCCACTACATGTGTGATAGATGGGTTTGAGTCCTGGAGGAGAAAGCCTACATAAAATTGTCTGCCCTCCCTATCAATCTCTATATGTTGATCTATAAACTCTGTATAGCTCACAGTAAAAAAAAAACATGTGAGATATCTTCAACTTCTCTTTTACCACATATACAAACCCGTTCTGCTATAGGTGTTCTCTTATACCTGCCCTGGAGNTTCTGCTCTATTCTATTTCATTCCATTCTAAATTCTGTTCTGTTCTGTTCTGCTCTGCTCTATTCCATTCTATTCCATTCCATTCTATATTCTGTACTGCTCTATTCTGTTCTGTTCTATTCGTTATTCCATTTCAATATTCTATTCTATTCTGCTCTGTTCTGTTCTGCTCTGCTCTGCTCTATGCCATTCCATTCCATTCCATTCTATATTCTGTTCTGTTCTGCTCCATTCTGTTCTGTTCTGCTCTATTCTATTCTATTCTTTATTCCATTTCAATATTTTATTCTATTCTGTTCTGCTCTGTTCTATTTCATTCCATTCTATATTCTGTTCTGTTCTGTTCTGTTCTGTTCTGCTCTGCTCTGCTCTGCTCTGCTCTGCTCTGCTCTATTCCATTCCATTCCACTCCATTCCATTCTATATTCTATTCTGTTCTATTCTGCTCTATTCTGTTCTGTTCTGTTCTATTCGTTATTCCATTTCAATATTCTATTCTATTCTATTCTATTCTGTTCTATTCTGTTCTGTTCTGCTCTATTCCATTCCATTCTATATTCTGTTCTGTTTTGTTCTGTTCTGCTCTATTCTGTTCTGTTCTGCTCTATTCTATTCTATTCTATTCTATTCTTTATTCCATTTCAATATTCTGTTCTGTTCTGCTCTATTCCATTTCATTCTATATTCTGTTCTGTTCTGTTCTGTTCTGTTCTGTTCTGCTCTGCTCTGCTCTATTCTATTCTACAGAAGCGTACCCCCTGCAACCCACCACTCAACTGGGCCTGCATAATTCCATAATCACAACATGGCTCATTTTCTATCCCCTTTTGGGGTGAATTTTCTTGGGACTATGGAGAATATCAGAACATCCACCACCCCGCCAGAAAGGAGTTAATAAAACCTCATGGGAAAACCCAGAGTTTCCATTTTTAATATCGCTACCATTTAGCAGAACTTGGTGGCTGGTTTCGGGACAATCCCCAGCCTAGGTTTTATTAGACTTCATACTGAAGTCCACGCTTAACCACAAAGGCCACAGTGCTTGTGGTCTAGAGATATTTTGAGACTGTCATGTCTGTGCCCCCCCCCCCAAATGTTTACCACACAGCATTTGCCAAGCAGACGGGTCCGAGGAGTAGAAATCTGCTCAACCTACTTTACATTTGCAAATTAACCTACGTGTTTTTCTCTAAAATAAAGTTGCATTCCTTTCCTAGCGATTTATCCAAAGCAGCTGCGAGGTGTTGAAATCTGGACCAGATGTAGTTCCCCCGCCCCCCCCCACCCCCAGGACCAGGGAAACAAACTTCAGTAAAACAAGAAGAATTTCCTTCCGAAGCTCTAAATTATTCTGACCTTATGTAATCCTCTCCTCTCCAGTTAGCAAAAACGTGATGGGTAAGCAAGAAAAACGGATAAACAACAGTGGTGCTTTTGATAAAGACCTTCGGTTCCTACAGTTATTCCCCATTTCTACTCTCCCCGGGGGCGGGTGGGATACTTTTTGTTTCACTTCCAAGATTCAAATCCCATGTAGATGGATTCCCCAAAACTTTACCCTCTGTCTCCTCTTCCTCCCCCTCCTTTTCCTCCTCTCTCTTTCTTCGTACAACTACCCACGTGGGAAAAAAATCAGAAACAATGTTTTAGATCACTTCCTTCCTCTTTCAAAATAGCAGGGCTAGGATTTGCTCAGCAGGCATTGAAGGACAACACACACACACAGACACACACACAGACAAACACACACACGCACCCTTGATGGTTTATGGACAGTTGATGAAAAATGTATTGAATGTAAACGCGGGTACACAGCCTGCTAGGTATAACGTAGCACCTAGTGATTCCATATCTACATCCGTATACGGTAGTCTCCTTGGCAAGAGCCATTTTGGTCAAGGGGTAACGGCACCAGGCTGGAAACTGGGAGATGGGGAGTTCTAGTCCTGTCTTGGGCACAAAGGATGATTGGGGGGGGACTGGACCAATCACCAGGAGACTGTGAGTTCTAGTCTTAGCCATGAAAGCCAGCTGGATGACGTTGAGCCAATTCCCATGAGACTGTGAGTTCTAGTCCCACCTTAGGTATGAAAGTTGGCTGGGTGACTTTCAACGAATCACCAGGAGATTGTGAGTTCTAGTCCCCC